TTTGGAGGGTAATGTTCGCCCTATGGCTCCTAAACTGTCTATTTTGGGACCAATTATTTCGAAGTAAATTCCTGTCAAATCTGGCAATCATTCCGTTGTCAGGAATTAATTGTTTTCAGGATATTATTGACGCAAACGATACCGACTTAACGGTACTCATCGATAAAACTAGTTTTGCGTACAACTATTTATTAAAGGTAAAACATATTTACAAAAATAATACTAACTAACAGTAAACTACAAATAAAAATATTATTTGCATTATTTTCAAAAATATTAATATTATATTTATTACTGTTAGAAAAAGTACCCAAATTTAAAATATATTGATAGCAATCAATACGATATACAATGGAAAACACATTTATTGCCCATAATTAAGAGCCAATCGGTGTTTGTCGCGTACGAGGCGTTGATAAATGAGATCATTTATCTGTACCCAACTCTACCGCTGCATAAATCTAATGAAAATCTAATGCTAGCTATTGGAGGCATATTAGTCCGCAAACAGTTTAATCCGTGGATTAAATACCGATTTAAACACATGTAGGCATTAACTAAATTAATTAAACATGTTTATTAATATATATATATTTTAATTATATTGATCATAAAAATATTTGTAATTAAAATAATATTAGGTTTATCATAATGAAAGAGACGGGACTATTATTGTGGCGAACGAGGGTTAATAAAATCATTGCCAAAGCGATAGCAACAGTAATGCTTAAGAGTTGCCCCGAAATAGATTCTCATCCAAATGTGGACACATTTCAGACGTTAAATCTCATTGACATTAAAATTATATTTTATGCCTTCTCTTCAGGTTTATTGATAGCAATAATTGTTTTTATATTTGAATTTCTTGTTTCATCTATGTTTAATTTATTATAAACTTAAATTACTTATTTTACAAGTTGTATCTTTAAGTTATTTATGGTAAAAATAATTAAAAACTTCTAGCAATATTTTAATAATCTTAATACAGTATTCAGTTTCGTTGATTTTGTAAAACTTTTCTATTGACAAATATTTTAATTAATTAATGTTAATTTGTTAAAAATATAATTAATAAAATACAAGTTATAAATTATATGCACAAATGCAAACATTTAAATGTGCTTATTATTTAAATAATTATAAATTATAACACAAAAATACAAAATTACTATTAATTTTCCATTCAATATAAAACATAGAGAGATATTATAATTGTTATTAGGATACTAAGAAAATATAGCAATGCTTTCATTTATTTGTGGAAATAATTAATTAAATAACTTATTGTTTTAGATTAAAGCTTGGGTACTTTTGGTTTATCTTATACTTAACTAATAACAATAGATTACTTGTTAATAACATTTAGTGATATAATTTCAGTGCTTTTGGTTTATCTCTCACTTAACTATGGATTTGATTAACAAATCATTTGACTTAAGATTATTTCTTAACAATTGTGTAATAATTGTCTGCATTTCTAAACACATGTTATTTTCAGTGCATTTGGTTTAAGATTTCAACAAATAATCTCTAATTCTCTTCAATTTTCTTATCAAACAATTAATATATTGTTGTATGAAAAATAATTAATAATTGATGACTACCGTAATAATAAGATTGCATTCAATATTTAAAATGTGTTTTAATATATTTTGTAAATTTATCTTAAGTCAAATCGTTGTCTACAAATTATCAATTAATAAAAACTTCATTTGATATGACAATAGTATATAAAGACATGACTTTTGTTTGAGAAAAGTATAACAAATTGTCTTATAATTCAATTATAATAATAATTATAATTAAATATAAACTGCAATAAAATGATGAAAATATTGTTAGCGTTTGTGTCAGTCGTAGCCCTCGTC